TTTTGGTGGGTTTAAAATTAGTAAAGGCACAGAGAGGAAAATATGTTTTAATGCAATACAATTTAAATTAACAGTTTTATGTTAGGAATAAAAAAATATATATTATCTAAAATCATCATCACTATTTGTTGTTCTTCTCTTWGAACTAAAACACAGTTTGAATACCTCTGATATACATAAATAAATCATTCATAGGTACTACTTATTTTAGTATCTCGTCAAAACAAAATTTAATAAAATATGAATGTTAGACTTACTAAGAATACAATATTAACTATTTATTTTTTGTGCATTTATTAAGAATTTATTATAAGACTGTTTATTTTCATAGCAGAAKTATTACAAAATAGTTTTTGTTCATCTATTAGTATTATTAATGTAATTATCCATGAGTGCAATAGATAAAAAAATGTATGCTCTATAATTTTAGGATAAAGCTACTTTTTGAGATTTAAAAAGCAAATTATAGTGATTTAACTGAGAAAATATGATTTATCTAACTTGTTAACAAGCATTACTTAATTAGTATAGGTAACTCATATTGTTATTATTAAATCATAAAATTTAGAATGTAGGAAACACCAATTCAAAGAAATCAAATATTATTAATTTGTTTCAATAATTTAATAAAATCATTTTCAAAAATACTATATGGCATAATATTGTATTAAAAAAAAAAAAGTTAAAAAAAAATGCAATACAATACAACAAATATCAACCAAAAACAAAGTAGTCTTCTTTTTTGTAACCTTGTTGAATAACTAACCTATTGTAGAAAAAAAAATGTTTATATCAATAATTTAAAATGTTTGGTTTATTCTTACTTTTCACATAGTTTATTGAAGCCTGGTGGGCCACAAATGCACACTGCATATTCATTTTTTATATCTTTATCTATCGAAGGAAAATATTTAACGATTACATTTTCATCAATATGTCCTTTTGAGTYACCCTTGGAGTTTTCCTCTTCTGACAAAATGTAATGTACAGTCAGTCTATACAAATATTAACAACTTAATAATTAATATCAAATCATATAGTGTATAATATAGTATATAGCAATCTAACCTTGATAAGTAAGCAGCACTTTTTTCATCTAAATACTTTTTCCAAATTATACATGATTCTTTTTTGTTGAAAAACAATAATGTGATATTATAACTGTATGTGATTAAAATAAAATAATAAAACATTCGTCTTTTGATTACTGTTAGTATGAAAATCTAATTACTTTTTAATGGAAGAATGCAAAGCACTCCATATGATTGGTAACATTGGTGTAATTCCAGTACCAGCAGCCAATAAAATAAGGTTTGATTTTGATGTCCAACACTCAAAACTACCTTGCGGACGGCTGACATCGATTAAATCTCCTTGGCTTAAAGAACACAAATGTCTACTTAATTTTCCATTTGGATAACTTTTAACTAATAAACATAAAGTGTCTTCAGAGATTTTCCCATACTCTGTTGTTTCAACTAAAGGCCATACTGGAGTATATGGCCGTGATACAACATGACCTAGAACAACAATTTAAAATACTTAGAAAATATGTTTCAATACATTTTTTGAATGATTATTTTTTAGATTCGTACCATTCACATTAGCTTTTATATAAACATGTCGCCCTGGATAAACATGATTATACAAGTTCTGTTCATACTTAAATAATAAAAATTTAGTATTATGTGTAACACTAAATGAATCAAGTAGCTCGCATTTCCAATAATCAATTTGAATATTTTTAGTATTTGATATAGTTCCATATGTCGGCCAAAGTCCAAGTGCTTTTTTTATCAGTTTAACTTGTACTTTTCCAATGTCTGCTACTATTTTTACAATACAAGGCCAATTGACATTTTTATGCAAAGTGATACATCTTGATTTTCCATTCAATACAAAATGAAATTCATTGGGTTGTTTTAAAGTAATAGACACCTGAAATCAGAAAAAAGATTGAAGACTATCAGAATTAATTATACACAAATATTGGTATAGTTTTGATAAATCCAATATTATGGATATTATGCTTTAAATCAGCAATAAATATTTAAAACTAGATATTATAGAGAAGTAAAAATATAATTTTTGAAAATTAAGAAGAAAAAATKAAAAAAATGTATAATTTGAAAGTCACAAATACWTAATAAAACAATTAATTGTTGGATAYCACAACTTTTAGATAAAAATATGTCCAACTGTGTATGGATAATTTACATACCTCAGGATATGGTGTTTTAGTATAAAATACAAAACATAAGAAGCCAAGTTGTTGAAACCAATCCATGTTCAAATCATTTTCGGAGACATCTGTAGCGGCTTTCAAAATATCAGGCAATTTAAACAGTTCTTCATTAACTAATCGGCCAACCACACACTTCTGAAGTATTGATTCATAATTCACCCAAGCATGTATCTGTTGTTCACAATCTTTCGTAAAAAATTTGTYAACAGTTAACAACAATTAAATTGTTTGTTACTATAAGTCTTTAGTTACCTCTGAAAATAACTTGGTAGCGTCAGTGCCGATTCCTCTAACTAATTCATCAATACCACCAGGATGGAAGTCCATGTAGTGGGTGACATTGTAAACTGTTCCACGAATAGCCAACCAAGCATCTGTTCGCTTATTRTGCTTTGCTAATTCTGATTTGGAAATAGATAACATTTTACCACCAACTCCAGTCAAGTCACTTCCAGAGTTGCCTAAACGAATCCAATCCATCAGAGAATGACCAGGTGCAAGTGCCACCTTATTTCTAGTCGTTCCTGGTGTTTCAACAAAAACAACAATATTAAATAAATAATTATTTTTTTTTTAAATTTTTGTTAGAGAATATAATAATCTATAAACAAAGGCATATAAGAATATGTGCTACAATATTTTGAAAAACAGGAGTATGGTGAGGGAAGAAACAATCCAGTGATCGCACTTCCTTAAATAATTTAAATTAAATTATTATGACACATC